CGTAATGTCTAAATTTAGAAAGGGTATTTTCTATTTCTGGGCTAAAATCGATCTGAGCCACCTCAGCATCGTTATATTTAATAAAATAGGCCAATATTCTATCTAAATATATAAATCCGACCCATTATTTGCATAAAATAGGTTTCAAGCCACAATTTACCCCTTTACAGGCTCCCAACCTTAATTTCGAGTTTCACGAGGAAATAATTAAAGAGAATCGACTACGCTAGGCCACCGACTAGACTGAATTGAATTTTATGCCGGATTTCTTGACTTCAGGTGAGTCACTTCTTATCTTGGGCGATACTTCATGTTCATCTTTTTCAATACCAATTCCGTTTTGGTAACAATATCCAATACTGTACATTTTGTACAGGCTCTATTCGTGGATACACTTTGACATTCCTCTGGGGCTTCTCTTAAGTCTTATCCAGCAGGTAATGCGGACATTTCCTTCCTTCTTTCCGTCCCTTCTATTCGTGGATACACTTTGACATTCCTCTGGGGCTTCTCTTAAGTCTTATCCAGCAGGTAATGCGGACGTTTTCTTCCTTCTTTCCGTCCCTTTAACTTTTTCAAATGCATTTTCGCTCTGGTTATTCTAATTTCTTCACTTAATGTGCCCCACCCTCGCACATTCTTGTCATGACCTACCATCTCTTTTTCGTCATATCCATTTTTCTATGACATTTCTACTTTGGTCGGGAGTTCAATTTTCTTAGTCAATTGTGAACTCTGTTCACAATATCACATGGTTGCCATTTCGCAGCAAGCTTTGATTTTTATTCTTTCATCTAAATGGCTTGACTCTGCTGATTTATTATTATTATTATTATTTATTTTTTTGCCATTCGAATTCTTCATGCCTATCGTCGCTGGGCTCTTGGCTGTTATCTTCATGTCTATCCTGCACAATTCTTCGACAGGATTGATATTATTTTATCCCAACTGGCACCGTATACATTTGTAAATCCTTCTATCTTGATAATATAGTCTTGTTTGGCTCTAACTTATTTGAATCGACAATTGATTTTAAACTTCTCTTCGATGATGATCTTTCATTACACTTGCATTTCTGAAGTTAGCTACTTTATGGTGATACGTAGATACCTTGTTCTCATTGGTATCTAAATCAAATTCGACCTGTCTTTTCGAGTCACCACTATATACTGTTTCATTTCAACTTTAATTCCATTTTTACAATAATTCTTCAATTCTTGTATAAATTCTTGCTCATTTTTTTTTTTTGTTTGAATCACGAATTACTTTAAGTGAAATATTGCACTACGCACTATTAATTCTATTGAATTATCGTGCATAATATACGGTTGCAGATTTTCCTTTCCCAACTCTGAACTCATCATAATCGATTTCAGATAATTTAGATCTTTCATTCTCTTACATTCAGGAGTAATATGATTTGGTGATTTATTGGTTTTCATAAGGTTTCTATGTTTTCCAGACCAACAATTTGTCTTTTGAATATATATTTTTGTACCGATACCGTTTCGATATAGTCGAGTGACATTACCCATATTAGCAGATTTCTGATAATAAATGAATGTATGATTTGCATCTTCTTCAACACCAAAGTTGTTTCGATAACAGTATCCATCATCAAATATCCTTTTAATGTGCTCTATTTCCGCTAAATTTTGATAGTAATTGAATGCTTTATAATCGTCCTTTTTAACTCTAATTCCATTGCCAGACACCAATGTTCTATCCACACAATTAGTTCCAGAAAACATTCGGATGTAATCTTTCAAATCTTCATTGATTTCATAATAGGACTAACTATATTCATTCCATCAGCATTGGCTGATTTTCGATAATGCCTGAATGCTATGTTTTCGTTCTTTTCAACTCTAATTTTATCAGCATAGTTCATAGCTGATTTCTGATAATATACTAATGCCTTATATTCGTTTTTGGTCACCATTAGCATATATAGGAGTAGTAGGTTAAATAGAATGAGCCCGAGTGTGATTGGATTATGAGTTTTTCTTTCTTTTTGCCATTTAATCGAGGCCTTGATTTTCTGATTGCACTTAGTTTTGTCCAAATGTTTTTGCAATACGTGCCTTTTTGCATTTAACTTATCTCTTTTGCTTTCTTTACTATTTAGGTAACAATATTTAGGACTGTAATGTTCGTCAATTAGATTTGTTTCTGCTAATTTCCGATAGTCGATAGGTGTTTAAGGTTCTACTCTAATTCCACATGGTTGGTAAGTGTTTCGTTTTATCTGAACCTCTCCAGCTTTATTGAAGTATTCGACTTTTTCATCAGCTTTGAATTCGACTTCTACGATGCTAGTTACAAATTTTCATCATTATTTGAGCCCAACCAATCTTCGGGGATCGTATCATTACAAGGATACCAAGTCTCCTTATTATCAGTATTAGCATTTCCGGGTTCTTTAGGGTAACTATTATTTATATTCGAAGCTATAGTATAATAATCGGATCTTTCATTCAATTCGGAGCTTGTTTCATTTATTTTTTTCTTATATTTGTCTTCCTTGACCCCAATTTGACAATAATTCTCTGGGTCTTTTGTATCATTATCATGAGCTATACCCACAGGTTTTTGATAATAAATGAGAGCCTTTGGATAATTCATGTCTTTTTTATCTTCAATTCCATCGGCATATTTCATCGTGGTAGGCTTTTTGTAATTTATTAGAGCTTCATTTTTTTGATTTTCACTATCATTTAGGCCCAGCCAATCTGCAGGAATCACATCATTGCATATATACCAAGTCTCATCGTCATTATCATAAACATTGTTTATTTTAGGAGATTTCTGATAATCCATTAGAGCTTTTTCTTCGATATGTTCATAAAGTTGTCCAAGGTTAGTTATTTGAATTATATCTTTATCTGCAGATTCTTGATAATAATTGAGTGCCCTATGGTTCTCCTTTTCAACCTCAATTCCATTGGTATGATCCATTCCAGCGAGTTTTTTATAATCTTCCTTTTCAACTTTTATTCCTTCGTCCAATTCAGAGGTTTTTTCATTCGTTTTAATGCTTTGAATGTTGTTCATATCTGCTACTTGTTGATGGTAGGAAAGTTCTTTAATAATATTAGGCTGAGTTCTAATATTACTTTCACGTTTATTAACTTTAGTGAATTTTATAGGCTGTTCGAGGATTTCTTCATCCTTCGTATCAGCGTTTAATTTGACTCCAATGCCTAAATTATAAAAATAACCAACTTGATAAGTTCCGTTAGAATTATTCATCTCTGCTGATTTTTGATAATATGTGTGTACCTTGTGTTCATTATTTTTGGCACCAATCCCATCTCGATTCCGATTATAGTTCTCAAGACTATATGCTTTATCGATGTGACATTTTTCTGCTAGTTTTCGATAATGAGGAAATGCCTTAGGTTCATTCTGATAATTTTTTTTGAAGCCAGCTCTATTTCGCTTAAATGTTCTTTTATCATTATAAGCTATATGCTTATCTGCTCTAACTTCTATACCATTTAATGATCGTCGATGACCTTTAGATAATTTCTTTTTACTGGATTCTCTGTTGGTCATTCTTTTTTCATCCCATCCTTCTTGGGCGTAATAAGCATCAAAAGCATTGGTAGCCATTAATCTTTCTTGTCGAGGCCTTGTAGAAGAAACTTCTGTGGTGTGAGCTTTTGGGGACAGATCTTTCTTTTCCGATGTTGAGGTCACTTGGATATAGGGCGGTAAGTATATAACTGGCACTTCCTCATCATTTTTGTCATCTATATAATTCTCTAATATTTCTATAAATAACCCCAGAGCCTGAGGGATTTGTGCATTATGAATGTATATATCTTCAAAGGCTTCATTTGTAATTTCTTGGACCTCAGCAACTTGTTTATTGGTAAGTGCTTTAAATAGACTATCGCACTTCCTTTCAAGCATTTGTACTTCCGGGCATATAAAAGTGCTATGTCCTTTTATGTTACAAGAGGAGCACCATACTTCAGTTCGGGGATTTCTTTGTGCAGACTCTCTCATCGAAGGCTCATGCCTTGTAATATTTGACTCAAAGAAATTCGGTCCATTATCCTTTCTAAGCTTTGAATCGTAGTTGTGGGTTCTTTTTAAATGTGTACTTCTTTGCATTATTCGTTTTATTCAGCTACTTTTTGAATTCGAATCTTGTATTGATTGTTCTCGCTGAGGTTATTAGGGAAGTTCTATCTCACAATCTAGAATCGCTAGATTTGTGTAAATTCCTTGATTTGGGTGGGTTTGGAAGTAAGTATCTCACAGTCACCACCAACTGAGATAGGTAAAATTAATCTGGAATTGGATAAATTCGGGTAATACGGATTTCAAACTATACTAACTAATCAAAATAACACACTAAATGACTAATCTCTATCAAAACCCTAATGGTAGAAGGTACGAAAGAGGCGTGGATAAACTTGGTCCGAGTTATTAGGGTCAAATAGAGCTCTATATGATGTCACGAAGCTCTTATTCAAGGATTCACGGGTTTAGACTACTAGTTCTATGCGAATTACTTATTCAAACATTGAACTCTACCTTCCAACTCTGTCTCTCTGACTCAAAACTGACTGAGCGACTGAGTTGTTCTTTATTTCAAATTTCCGCTTTTATACTTTTTACATTACTGTGTCTTCGGGTAGTCTGACACATGAAGCTACCTTAAAATAATATAATTTGGTACCAAAGGCAAGGTATGGTACCGGGAGGTACCAAATTTATAGTCAAGAAGACGTAATGTACTAATAATATGGTACGAAATGAGCTAATAGTACTTAGAAAGGTTTTTTCTATTTCTGGCTAAAATCGATCTGAGCCACCTCAGCATCATTATATTTAATAAAATAGGCCAATATTCTATCTAAATATATAAATCAGACCCATTATTTACATAAAATAGGTTTCAAGCACAATTTACCCCTTCACAACGTACAGTACGTATAGTTCTTTTCTGGCATCAGATTGGCTGGAACAAGTGATCGCTACATTCAATCTGAACCCGTCCTGAAATTTTCGGGTCAGATATTTCTAACCCGAACCCGACCCGACCCGACCCAAAATTTTGGGTCGGGTTTCGGGTTGATCTGACCCAATTCGGAGCACTAAACATTATATAAGTTACCAGTATTATATGTTTTTATATTATTAGATTTATTGAATTTTTTTACATTATTAGGTGATTTTACAAAAAAATGGGTTGAATATTTACATTTATAGTGGCATTGTTTCTTTAGAAAATTTAAAGCCTTGAAATATTTGATTTAATAATCATTGCTAACTAATTTATGCTTATGAAATTAGTTGAATATTTTTAGCATATTCTTTCTTGGATTATTCAACTTGGTTTCATTCAAACGTTTCTAGTTTTCTTAATAAAAACATTATATCTTTGTAAAAGTTCAGCAATGGTGATATAAGAATGGGCTCCCAGAACTGAATTTTATAATATCTAGATTATAACATATGAACAACTTGATATTTATGACAAGGGAATTTGTGTATGAAAACTTCTATTTATTTATTAGTAAGTTCGAATATATATAAACCAAATCCAATAAAAAAAAAATTTTGTTTAAAGTTTCAAAAAATTTTATTAGAAACTGGTTCCAAAACTTAGGATTAGGCTGGATGTATTGTGACTAGAAAGTTTAAATAGGGTAATCCTGTAGGGTTACAAATATAGCAGATAGTGTAAAACCCTAAGCATAGCACTAATACTTTGGGCAGACTACTTAAATTAGACAACAAAAGTGTACATGTGGTTTGATATACTTCATCATAATGTATAGTGTTTAAACTTACTTAATAAAATCTTGCCAATCAAGAGAGTTACTTTAAAATTAAAAAAAAACAAGATAGCATACTAGTTATCTAAATTTTAGTATTTTAAATTTTTTTAAGTTTTGAATATAAAAATTTTTAATACAAATTTTCATGTTAAAATTAGTATTTAGAGTTAATATTTTTACTTGAGACATCTTGCACTGGTTATTTAGCCAGCTTTTGAGAAATATTTATGTAGGTGTTAAACACATAGGTGTATTTTTATTAAAGGTTAGATAATAATAATAATAATAAACAAGTATCTTTTTAGATATTAGCTTAATTGCTAATAAATTTTTGAAAAAATCAAAGCAAGCATCAAAGAACTGTATTTATTTTTGCTAGCAATAACATGCTCTACTTCTAGTACAAATTACAAGAAAATAATCTAATTAGTGAAGATAAAAAAAATATATTTAGTAAAGTTACACACTCTGTTGTTTTAAGCAATTAATATAATAAAATATAATTATAATTTGCTTATATAAAAATCTTTTTATAAATTTATTTATAAATTTTTTCAAAATTTAAGGTGATATATAGAATTTATAATTTTAGAGAAATATGACTATATTAGATTCTTTTGTCTAAATACTAAAAATTTTGAAAGCTAAAATAATAATTATAAAAAACGTGACAATAATATTAATGGACAAGATGATAATAATAGTAACTATCTTATTTAGACCTTCAGATAAATCTTAATTTGTAACACCAACTTGATAAACCTTATATTCTACTGCTCCTTTAAAACAACTTTACTCTCAATAATAACATCATCTAATATTCGACAAAAGACTTGTAAGTTTTTGCCAAGTAACTGGAGAGCAAATAATAGCAGTTTGTCCTCCAATCTTCGAAATCAAATTAACAGCCAAAGCTTTTCTTTTATCACCCGGAGATACCATAAAGATTTTTAATAGATTGTTACCATACATGTCCATATCTCTTAACTCTGATAAAAAGTCCATGATTTCTTCTTTGTTTGTTTCATAAAGATTGATAAATAATATATCATAAGCAGATTGATTATGCAGTTCAAAATATTTTTTTGCTTCTTGGATACCTTTAGAGTAAGTATCAAAAGAATCAACTGTTTTAACCATTTTAAGATATTTCAATATTGAATTACTTACACTTTCTACCGGATGAATTATTAATATTCGTTTTGATAAGATACAAGATGGTGGTAAATGACGCATCCGCTCGTGAAAAGTATTCCCAAATATGGTTCATAAAATTTGCATCAATGCTAACAATAGTAAATTTTATAAAACGCGTTTAAAATAATTGAATAACTATTATAAGCTTACCCAATGCCAGTATCGCGTAATTCAATTAACAGTTGGTATTTTTGACTGTCTATATCTTTGTCAGTGCCTTTTTGTGATTCTATTGAAACATCCATTACGATTTCACCGTCGTCGGTAAATTTAATACT